GGCCATACGATAGCCCTTAGCCCACCGAAATATTCATTAAAACTAGAAATCACTAGGTTCTCACTATTGAATAACATTTTCCAGAAATCTTGTTATGCCTTTAACAAATTTTTTGCATGGATAAATAGTTATAAATTTTTTCGTACTTACTTGCTATTTTGCTGAATTTAAAACTAAATCGCGTACTTATTTTCCAACAACGACATTTTAAACGCATATTATAAACTGTTCGGTCTAGCAACCCGCTTTGAACGCGAATCCCATCCATCCTTGGTCCTTTTCGAGCTCCTTCCACCCAAGTATTCGACACAATAAATAAATCAATATATCCCCCTCGCCTCTCCTCGCGAAAGTAGATTTTCTGGGTCCCGTATAGCCCAGGCCAACGGACCTTTCTTATGCTATACCCGAATTAAATGTAGGTCAACGCGCCTCACAATATATCATGCCGGATTGAAGGGTAATAAATTTTCCTGACCGCGGTGGTTGTCGGTCGATTTTTTTTTCTGCGCCCGGGCTACTCCGACGTTATTTCAATATTCGCCTTTGTGGAACTTGAATGGCCCAAGAAAACGTTTTACAATTATGTAGATGTCAACGTTTCGTCGATGCTGATGAGAAGTTATTAAATTTTGTCTCGTATACAGGGTGTGTGTAAATAAGTAGGGGGCGGTTGCCGAAGTTATTTTGTGGAAAAAAGTTCATATGAACATACCTAGGTCGAAATATGCTTCGTTGCCGAGATACAGTGTTTAAATTTAAATTTTTTATTTATTTTTATTATTTCGAAAAGTTTTAAGAAATCGACTGGAAATTTGATGGTTGTATTTTATTTAGAAATATTGACAGCAACCTGCTAGATAATGTATCAATAGAAATTAAAAATACACACAACTTGCAAGTAAACAGTAAACAAACATATCTAAATATAGAAAAACTCATACCAAACACAAAAATGTGTATTGAAATCAGTTAGGGAAAAAATAAATAAAAATTTTAACAAACGCTTTCGTATTTTATTTTGGATCTGAAGTAAAAGCACTGTCATAGTTTGGTAATCAAATTGTCAATCAATGAATAGTAAAAAAACTTTTGTATGTCCAATATATTTTACTATTAATGAGAATGGTGTTAGTGAATGTTATTCATAACCTAAATAACGGGGATTCCGTTGGCATTGACTGTGAACCAATAAAAGTCGTTAAACATATAGTTTTACGTAATTCTTGAACTTTGTCATACTTGATAGGGGCAGTGTAGTGACCCCTCTACTTAAAAAGACCCTTTGTGTATTCAAAATTATAGTTATTACTACTATTCCAACAGTCTTATCCAAAATAATCGAAAACATAATATACAATAAAATGATCTTAAATCGCAACTAAATGCGAGAATGGGTTTTGTCCTAAGAAATCTACAGAAACCGCTGCTTGTGCATTCGTAGAATACGTTTATGAAAATCTTGATAAGGGGAAATATGTGAAGGCTTTCTATTTTGATTTAACAATGGCATTTGATTGCTTAGATTAAACTTTTTATAAAGGGAAAATTGTATGTCTGTATGACTCTTGTTATATTTACAGTACAGTAAATATGTTTAAAAAAAATTGAATAACACATATTCCAATATAGGTACAGAGTGTGGATCTTGGAATTCCTGAGGGCCCAATTCTTGGGCTACAATGTTGTGTTATAGGTATGTTTTTAAGTATTAAAAAAATTATTGCTGCCCTTTGTTTTATAATAAACAAAAAAATTGTAGTGACATAATGAATAGAATAGTATTTAACTGGCTCACACCGTATACGATGTTTACATAAAAACAGGATTAACGCTATTAAAATTGATTGAACACCATGCCGATTTTTTATTCAAAGCCCTAAACGGAAATCTCCGGAAAACACCGTTTATCCGAACACCCCGCGCTTGTAATATTTTAATGCCGAAGCCTTAGGACGCGCCCCTCTTCACCGGGGGGTTAATTCAATAAACCTAAGCCGTCATAAGCGATGTCGGTGCGACGAGGGAGCCTTCCTAGGAAATTATGCAAAATAGAGCCGGAGATTCGCATCCAGTTCGACAACAAAAAGACTAACCCGATTGATATTCATGAGATAATACGTCTTATACACACTCTGCCGGCAGTTGATTGTACGTATACCATCTAAGCTTGCCAATACCGGATTTAATTAAAATACTACAATGCTTTGTGTGGGTGTGCGTAGGTAATAGGTATACCGAATTTGGTAGCGGCTTCTGCACTCAGAAAAATGTTGTCGAGTAATAATAATTCAAAGACAAAAAGAACAGGTCACTATTATGACTGAGTTGCAAGCAGACATAATAAACAGGGGATTTTATAAGCACGTTAGCTCGACTTAAGGAGGTATATCGGGGTCCGAGGGAAGTGAGGAGCGAAGGGGGGTCCTATGCTTTTCTTATAGGATTAAAGCCCGCTGCCAATCTGAAAAAATTAAATTCTATTGAAATTATTTGCGATAAACATTATCTATATAGCAAAGAAATCTACTCAATATGCACATAACATACACATTGAAAATTAACAACATAAAAATATCACATTTAAGTAATTTTAAATGATATTTAATGAACGCATAAACACTATGTAAATGTGGCAACAGCGCTAATATTAATCGAGTGCAGTTGTACACACTGCGAACCTACAGACCTCGGACATCGGAGATATTGCGGGTCAAATTCGGGTAAAGATGCGTACGCGTTCAAAAATGTATTGTGTGTAAACTATGTACAATATAATTATATATAGCAAATATATCGTATTATCCTCGCGAAGATTTGTATCCTTTATTTAAAATCCGTAAATCATGTGAACTGGTAAAACAACGAGAATTATGTTTGACACTAGCGCCCATCTCTCGTCCAAGTCGAAGAAAATGTTGGATGCAATTTTGAAGGTTCTGTGATAGAAATTACATTATTACTCACTGTTCGTGTTTTTAATCTCTATTTTAGTAATGTTACAAAAGTTTTGCAACTATAACAAATTTTTTAGATATAAAGTTTGCTGAGAAATATTTATGTTCCTTTGTTATTCCGTACAAATGCTTTTATCTCAAGTATTACTAATTATATTAATCAAGTAAAGAAAACTTTATGTAACCCTAAATATTGCTGGGTAATGATTACGATGTTTTTATAAACCATTAAATATATTAAAAGGATTTATCAACTGTATTTTTTATTCCAATAAATATATCACAGCTTCCTGGTCTTTTTAATTAATCTAGTTTTTTTAAACATTACAAAAAATCATCTGTTGTGGATAATTTATTGTTGATAACAATGTACATGGGATTTAGGAAAAATGTATATGTTTGAAATCAATTTAGTTTTTGTCAAGTCTCAAATGTATTCCCTCCTTGCTGTCAGCTGATTGCGACGTTGCCACATTAATCCTCAAGTGAGACAGAAATGTAATTATTGGTTTCTGTTTCTAATTAATACAGCTGTACTATGTTCAAAACTTACATTAGTTTTACATCAAAAATAAGATAAAAAGTTTTGTTTCACAATTTCTACATTTTTTTCTCAGTTATGGGCAAAAAAAGAGCCGCACCGTCCATCTTCGCCATATAAACCTATGTTAAAATGAACAACTTTCAACAGCAATATCTCAAAATCTAGAATCAAAAAAATATGAAGCACAGAGGGAGCACGCTATATAAATTTCAAGTACATCTGTGCATTTGAGTAAACCCGATATACCTCCTTAAAGGACAGTCAAATAATTCATTTGGACGTGATTCGAATCTTGAAATTTTTTAACTTAATCTTAGACAATAGAACAGTCAATCATTATAATACAGTAATTTGAATAGTAACAGTAATAAAGTATTGGAATAACCACACTCAAGATAATTGTCATTAATTTTTGAAATAAAGTTTTTCATAAACAAACTAAAATAATAACTCATAACTCAACCCTGGTTGACACTAGAGAGAAATACATAATTTTGAAAAATTAACATTATTGAATTATCCTAATATTATTACCTATATTTATCTTAGCCCTTAAAATTTGACTGTCATTAAAAATGTAAGAATTGGGTAAATTTTGCGTGAAAAAATAATTATCTTATTCCTGGTCATTTTAAATTTGTAACCTTGCATCAATTCTCAATCATCTTACCATCATTTAAAGTCACAATTATCTTGAGATTGTTAATAAATAACAGCCTTTATAGTCTTTCCGAAGTCAGTTGAACATGTATAAAAACGCCTAGCAATAAGGTTTGATGAGTTTCATAGGCGTCCCTAAAAAAGTTTTCTGCTAAAGATACAAAATAATAAATTGTACCTATATAATTTGTAGAAAATTTCTATTACATATTCATTTGGCCAACAACATATTTTAATTATTTATGTCCTCAAACAATTTTATTATGTTGGTAAATTTTGGTTATGACATATCAAAAAGCATTTACATCAACAATGTCCTGTGGATTATCTAATATAATACGTTACTGTTGTAAACCATTTTTCCTGGTATTTATCATTACGTTATCTTGAATTAATGAGTGACCAAAAGTGATTGGGATTATTTGATACGTAGTTTCCACTGTTTGCATATAATCTTTATAAGCTTCAGATGTTTGTTTCAATAAAAAACATGTATTGTATTCACTTATCGATGTATTGCATTATGACCTACATAAGTTGTTAAAGCTATTACCCGCATAATAAATGATACAGAATATTATGTAAACCGATTAATTATACAGCCTTCTTAAAATAATGATACAAATAAAAACACAACATTATATTTAAGTAATTAAAACACTATGCCACAAATGAATCTAAACATGCTTATTAAACAATTGGTTGAGTCACATCAGGTCATGTAAATTCTCACTTAAATCTTAGCTGTAACAAATCAGTTATGCCACTTTGGCGATTGAGCCTCGCCCTCGTGACTGGGAAGTTTCAAGAGATACTATTTAATGCCTTCTTTGTTGCAGTCCGAGCAACACGGCCCTGAGTTCGCCGGAACAAGTGAAGGAATATTTACTGACGGAGGGTACTTGTAAGTGTGGCCTGGAGTGCCACTTCAAGTACGACAGCGTCTTCAACTTCGACCCTAAGGTAAGTGCCTCCTGAGAGGAACCAGACACTGATCGTTAAGGGTGATGGATACTAGCTGTGCGGTTAGTTTATCAGCTCGTACACATGTGTGTCGGCCCAGACGTTTACATTTTTAACGTCTTAACTACGGGCTGTCAAAGTACTAATTAGGTCTCGGCGATCCCCGAGCTGAAAAAAAAACTGTTTGTTTAATCGCGGTAGGCCAGTGGAAGCGATGAAAGAATGGATGGTATCCCTGATAAAGTGCAAAAACTACAAATGTATACGTTATAGGTAGAGCAAAATATTTCTGTCTGTTGCACATGGACAACACTCGTCATCAGCGACGACATTTGAAAAAATCTAGCCCAAAAACAAATTTGTTTTGACGCGTTTATCGAATGTAGCGTACGTTTCGTTCGCGATCTGTTCCCCCTCGTCTATTTTTAAAGCACATAGCTTAAGTACAGGAAACGTAGCTATTTGTGTGGTCGTAATATTGTCGGTTTTTAACGTGTTTAACTAAGCTAGCAACGCTCTATGCGACCGTAGCATAAAACCAAAGTATGTTATTTTTTATTAATATCCGCTGGACGAGAATTTTTATGTGGGTAACTGTTCATGAGACCGCAGCTGATAATTAATCTCAAATTGTTAAGTGTTAAAATATCCAACGAATAGGAAATGGAAGTTTTAAGGATGTGTCATGTACTGTTCACATGATTTCGCTAATGGAATACGAGGCGGGTAAAAATATTCTAATAAGCTGGTGAAATGTAATGTTTGTTAATCAATAGGTATCGTAAACAGGAACTGTATATCGCGGTAATAAATTACCGTCAAAGAGATTTTTGTTTTTGAAAGATTCAGGTTAAAAAATTGTTTCGATCGAGATAGTAAAACTAGCTAGCGCAATTAGTGACTACTACTGACAGTAGACTACTTTAATCTCGTTGTAGTTAAGTTCTATGCTTTTTTTATGTACTATAAAAACGGCTACTGCACGCTCGTGTCCATGCGCACGCATGCGCTTTATAGTACAGTCATTGAAGCTTTTTACTTCCGAGTTCTTTGAAACTGAACCGATCGACTTGAAATTTGGCAGATAGTTAGAGAAAAGGTCGATGAACATTAGTGACTTAGCGCCAATTGACGCTTCCACCCTGTTGGGGGTTGACACCCCTTCTCAGGGGCGAAAATTTTTTATTTTTTTTTTCAAAGATGGAAATCGATAGAGAATCAAATTTTGAGCCAAAAAATATTCGGAGAATTTTTTCGAGATATCATTAGTTTTTTAGTTATTCACGATTGATAACTTGTAATTTTTTAGTGAAAAAAAAGAACACTTTTTCAAAGTATTTTTTCGCGAATAACTCAAAAACTACGCATTTTATTAAAAAAAAGTGTAATGTACAAAAATGTAGCTTATAAATAAACAAAGAAAATCGTTTTTTAAAAAGTGTTGTAGGAGGTGTTTTAAAATCTTTGAGCTTTGACCTTCATATGCGTAGAAACATAATTCCGACCGTCGCCTAAATTATTCTACGTCCTAAAAACATTACATCTATTATTCAGTCTATCTCGAGCTCTCGTAGCGTAAACAAGCCTTTGATCCGATTACAAATATCATAATAAAGGCCCTATTCTTTATTATTTTAATTTAAGCAATACAAATATATATGACGAACGTTCGCCAGTTGACTTTATTGATGCCCGAGCGCCTTAGTTCATTTCTGGTTGTAATGGGGCACGTGGTCTAATTCTGAGTCAATGTTTTCACAAAGTGCTTATTAGAAAAATTATGCGGATACGCCACGCCTTTCGCGCATTTCGCGGCTCATGAGATATTAAAACACTTCTACGTCCTATACAAAGCAAAATATGGTATGGAAGGGGACTTGTTTTGGGGGGAATACTCGAATCGATGTATTCAATGTCAAATAACGGAAAAAGGATTAATTTTACGTGTATAACGCTCCTGGAGTTCTTTGTAGTACGCAAAAAAACCTTCAAAATGAGCACTTATAAAAGTTTATAAGAGCAAAATTGAAGGAGTTATCGTCAAAAACAGATGGGTTGCTCATATTTTTTTTAAGGAAACGTGAGCAGGAAACGCTGTACCATTTCCATCAGAATTAAAATTAATCGTAGACACTTTACAATTAGTTTTGTTTTAGTGTTTTTCATACGATCTTGAAGTTAGACTGGTTTAGAATGCGTATCTTTTTAATAATGTACGGTAAAAGTTGAAAACGTATTTTTCATTATTCAAAAAAAATTGCCTTATTTATATAATAATTCTGAAACTATGAAAGATACGTAAAAAATGACAGACAACAAAAAATGTAAAATGCAACATTTTTTTCAACAAATATTTTATTCCTTTTTTTTTCCTTTTTTTATTCCTATAACAAAAATAAAGGAGATATCGCCGCTTGAAGTATCCATTTTAGTGAAAAAACGACCTGTCTCGAGCCCTTTATATGCAAACGATCTTACAGCTCTTGAAATTATCTTTGAAATGCTTTTTTGTAGGATACTATAGCTTCAAAATTAACCGAGTTGTGGTAAAAAAACCAATGACATTTTTTCGGTGCAAAATAGGCTTTCTCATTTTTGGAGCAAAATGTTAGGGTTCAAGTGCGCATCAGCGTGTATAAAAGTTTATATGCAGCGTAGCAATTTTTCTCATGATTGATTATATTTAAAAATCGATTATAATAAAAATATTTTACATTAATATTGGTAAAAGGGTAGTTNTATCGCGGTAATAAATTACCGTCAAAGAGATTTTTGTTTTTGAAAGATTCAGGTTAAAAAAATGTTTCGATCGAGATAGTAAAACTAGCTAGCGCAATTAGTGACTACTACTGACAGTAGACTACTTTAATCTCGTTGTAGTTAAGTTCTATGCTTTTTTGTGTACTATAAAAACGGCGACTGCGCGCTCGTCCATGCGCACACATGCGCATTGTAGCACAGTCATTGAAGCTTTTCACCTCGGAATTCTTTGAAACTGAACCGATCAACTTGAAATTTGGCAGATAGTTAGAGAAAAGGTCGATGAACATTAGTGACTTAGCGCCAATTGACGCTTCCACCCTGTTGGGGGTTAACAACCCTTCTCAGAGGTGGAATTTTTTTTTTTCAAAAATGGAAATCGATAGAGAATCAAATTTTGAGCAAAAAATATTCGAAGAATTTTTTCGAGATATCAATAGTTTTTTAGTTATTCACGATTGAAAACTTGTAATTTTGAGTGAAAAAAAAACCTTCGGTATTTTTTCGCGAATAACTCAAAAACTACGCATTTTATTTAAAAAAAATGTGATGTAAGAAAATCATTTTTTAAAAAGTGTATGTCCTATACAAAGCGAAATATGGTATGGAAGGGGATTTGTTTTCGGGGGAATACTCTAATCGATGTATTCAACGTCAAATAACAGAAAAAGGATTAATTTTACGTGTATAACGCTCCTGGAGTTTTTTGTAGTACTCAAAAAGACCTTTAAAATGAGCACTTATAAAAGTTTATAACAGCAAAATTGAAGGAGTTATCGTCAAAAACAGATGGGTTGCTCATATTTTTTTTAAGGAAAAATGAGCAGGAAACGCTGTACCATTTCATCAGAATTAAAATTAATCGTAGATCCTTTACAATTAGTTTTATTTTAGTGTTTTTCATACGATCCTGAAGTTAGACCGGTTTAGAATGCGTATTTTTTTAATAATGTACGGTAAAAGTTGAAAACGTGATTCATTATTCAAGAAAAATTGCCTCATCTATATAATAACTGTGAAACTATGGAAGATACGTAAAAAATGACAGACAACAAATATGTAGCATTTTCTTTTAACAAATATTTAGTTTTTTTTTATTCCTATAGCATAAAAAATAAAGGAGATATCGCCGCTTGAACTATCCATTTTAGTAAAAAAGGACCTGTCTCGAGCCCTTTGAGCCTTTCCTTTAAAAAAGGAAGGATTTAAAAGGTTTTATATGCAAACGATCTTACTTACACATCTTGAAATTATCTTTGAAATGCTTTTTTGTAGGATACTATAGCTTCAAAATTAACCGAGTTATGGTAAAAAAACCAATGATATTTTTTCGGAGCAAAATAGGCTTTCTCATTTTTGGAGCGTGTATAAAAGTTTATATGCAGCGTAGCAATTTTTTTCATGTTTGATTATATTTAAAAATCGATTATAATAAAAATATTTTACATTAATATTGGTAGAAGGGTAGTTTATAAGAGTTGAAAATGGCAAAAGTAAAATATTCTTTCATAAACAATATAAGCGAATTTTTATTTTAAATTATTTTTTTAGCACAGGGCTGATTTATAAGGGTTGCAAAATGTTACGAGATACAAATTATTTCATAAGCAATGAGGGAATTTTTATTTTAAATAATTGCAGCGTTAAAGTATTCCCAGCTTTCAAAAAGTAATTTTTTATCATTTTTGTCAATACAGGGGTGGTTTTTAGGGGTTGGAAGGGAAAAATTCATTTATTAGTTATAAGGTAACTTTTATTTTAAATAATTTCACGATTTAATCATTCCAAATCTTTAAAAATTAATTTTTTATCATTATTTTTTGCATAGGGGTAGTTTTTAAGGGTTAAATAAAGGGTCGAAAAAATCAAATATATCATAAAACATGTTCGAGAACATGGAACATTATTTAATCTTTGTGCTTGAACAAGATTTTTATCAATAAAATGCTTAAAACTTATTT